ACCACGACAACTCTATATTCATTGTTTTGGACGAAAAACTAACTGCTAATCATTTTAACTTCTGACAAAAGCTAACGTTAGCTGCCAAACGCAAATTGCACTAACGCTCTCGACCGAACGACTACCATTACAAACAAAATACAACAGACAATTGTTTTCGAAAACCTACCATTTCAAATCATTCCGATGTAGCCACCGTGCCCAGTTTTTTGTTTTTGTTACTTGAAGGCCCGCTGATAGCCCAAACTGCTAACACTCGTACCCCATGTGCCGGATACGCAACCGGAAACAAGAACCGTACACGTATTCCTACGTATTTCCGTTATACAAACCTTCCAATATCAGCGTGACTCTTTATTGTTTAGTATTTTTTTCTCGTGATAGTAAGTTTATAGTCATGTTTGTTTTTTGCTGATAATTTGACATGTTCATATATATATATATGTATATAATTTTTTTTTTTGGGGAGTTTTTTTTTTTGGAGTTTTTGCCACCACTTACTTTCTTGGCAGCATGTTTTGGGACATAAACTTGCTTATTTGTTTTTGTGATATATTTACATGTTTAGGTGTCACGTTTTGCTACGGATATGGCAGGAAGCAGGCAGGACCCAAATGTAGTCCTGGGGAGACTTTTTTCAGGTGTTGGTATCCATCAGGGCATGAACACAGAAGACCCAGCATGGACTCAGAACACACAGAGAACAATGAGGGAGAGAGGTACGCAGGATATACCCAGGAGACCGGGAGACACAAGTGAGACTAGACACAGAGACACAGGTGAGTGTGACGATACTGATTACCCCACACAGCAGACAGACCTTACAAAAGTAGTCACTTGGCAGCATGTTTTGGGACATAAACTTGCATTTTTAGGCCTACAATCTGTTTAATATAACTTGTTTAAGAATTATTATCATTACCGAAACATGCATTGTCATTATTTAAATGTATTAATCATTACCGAAACAGGTGTTCATTTTCATATGTTGCCTGCTCTTCACTTCACACACACACGTGTCCTAGTCTACATCTGTGGGCAGCATGAAAGTTGGATGTAGCCCCTCTCTCTCTCTGTCCATGTGCGTCCCCTAGTAATATAAATAACTCTTATTAACTCATAATAGACAGTAACCAACATCCAGACCTGTCAACACTGTTTAAGGAAAATCCAGCTGTGTCAGTGTAGTACTGCACAGACAGAAAAATACTGGAATGGATGTTCCATTAGGAATGAACTCTTCAGGAATGTTGCCAGAGACGGAGAGTCTGGCTGAGTATCAACTGTGCAGCAGGTCATAACAAAAGTTTCTTGTACCCAGCACTGACTGTAGTTTGTGATGAAGTGTATTATTTAAAAATAATTTGCAATTAAAGTGTCACTTGGTAGTTTGGGAATTGTTCTCCTCATTTAAAACCAATTTAAATTATATAAATGCACATCAGTGGAAGTACAAAACAAGCTGCTGATCATTTATTCACTCATTTATTCATTCATTAATTCAACGCTAAACACACCAAACACTGACATTCATTAGAAACATCGAATCCCACCGCTGTCACTTTGAATCCAAAAAACTGAGATGACTGTACATTTGTTTTTCATCCTTTGTGATTTCTGTGGGTTTTTTGTGTACCTGAACCCAGTGACACAGTGTTTATTACTGTTTTGAGGTGACAAATGACTTCATCTCACAAAAAGAATTCCCTTTAAATCACCAATACTTGGTTTGGCTGAAGAGCGCTCCCAAAGTAAGATACAGTATGTCTGTGAAGATTCTCATTCATCCAGGTCATGTTATCCAAAGAGTTAAGTTGTAAGCACCTGGACTTCTTCTTGGAGCTTGAAAGACATTTTGTTCCTCAACTGAGGAACTTCATTAGTATCTGGTTGAGGTAACAGGGAACACTAGTAGTTATACTTCTCAAACCATCCTTCAAGCTCCAAGAAGAAGTCCAGTTGTTTACAACTAAGCTCCTTAGATGGCTTACAAAGAAAGGCAACCCCTGTCCCATCCTCCCCCCAAAACTTGTTTGTGTTGACAAAACAAAGCCATAATATTGAATTCCCTGTTTTTAGCTGTCTTTACTAAAACAGCAGCCCTGATGTGGAGAAAAGTGTCCAACATCAGGGTTTGGAGAGTTTGTTGGAAGTGCAGTTTGGAAGAATAAATGTGCTTTAGTTCTTTTATATATATTGTAAGTGTGTGTGTGTGTGTGTGTTTGTGTGTTGCTTTTGTGAGTTTGGCAAAAAAGACAAAACATTTTTGTCAGGATTGAAGGAATGTTACATGGCAGACTGCACTGAGTTACAGAAGGCAGTGGAACAGATGTTTGAGTGGACGGAAGGACTTCTGCTCCAATGCGACAAACTGACATCATTGACATGACATTGGAAAAAAAGAGTTACAGTATATTGTCAAAGAATGCACCAAAACCAGCACTTACAGCTAGAGGTAAACTACAGCTAAAGTCATGAGTCATAATTCAACATATTAAATATGCAATCAACCTATTTATTCAAGATTTTTTTAATGAATCCTTCTGAATGTTCATACCAGCTGCAAAACATATTTAGCTTTTCATTGTATTTATATCACATCGTACTTACAGTTATAAAAAAGCCAACAACTCTCAGAACGTCCATTCATTAATTTTTTACTATTGTTCTTGTATTTTTCTTTTTATTGCCTGATGATTGTTGCCAGTGCAGCTAATCCAACAGCTAAGTCACATTTGCTCCCATCATGGTGTCTGTGACCCGGCTCCTTATATTGAACACTAAGAACAACAAAACCAGCTGTCATTCACAGGTGACTTAAGAAACTGAAGGATTTAGCTTTGAATCCATTTGTCGTAGGACAGTGAAGGCATCACTGGCATTCCTCTGTCTATGATTGGTGTGGGTAACGGAACAGTGAGCCCAGTGAAGCGACCAATTGTGTTGTTGTTACTACACAGCAGTATACACACACTCAGAGAGAGACATAATTCCGTAGTAATTTACCCTAATCTTAACTATTACACCTTTATGTCTAATCTTAATCCCTCGACTCTAACATCTAATCCAAACTTCAAACCAAATCTCAAACATTAAATACTGTCTCGCATGCAAATATCCACATCAGGACAAGTGTCCAGACAAGAGTAGTATTTTTACAAAACACATTTCCTACAACCACATACACACACCTATTTCTGGTATTGGTGCATCCCTTGCAATAACACGCTGATGTCATCACTGACATTACAGGCAGTGGGAAGAACTGATTTATGTTCAGACTTCACAGGAGCAGATCAAATCCAGTCTAATTTGATTTAAAGTGAAGATACTTGTTTCTTTAAATCCTTTGGTTGGTGGCGCCACCTACAGTAGAAGACACCGCAAGTCCTTGGCAAAAAGAGTCAGTGTGTATTTTTAAACAATAGAACTAAATTTAAAGCTGTCATCTGTTTGTATGTTTTTTTTCTGACTTCTTATTGCTACATTCCAAACTTTATCAAATTTATAAAATTGTACTGGAAATATTTAAATTCCAAATAGGTGGCTATTCAGAGGTGGGAGAAAATCAAAATAAAAAAATTAAGACAGATGTTATATATATTTTCTTTTTGAGAAGGTGCTTGGTGTGAAACATGTTTATCAACATATCTTTGTCAAGTGTTGGGCCGCGGTACATTGTATTTGATCAGGTTTTCAGATTATCCATTTTACATCAGAGCAAATGTTCATTTTTAAACTAGAGTCAGTGTCCTGTCTGTGTCTTTGTGCTGATTTTCTTTTTCAGTTATTGTTAATAAAAAAGTCAAATAAAAGTCAACAACAGTCTGGAGCCTCAGGTCGTCAGTCTGAGGGCGACCATCTCCAGGTGACCCACATCACATCAGAGCTCAGAGATGAGTCCAGCCGAGAAGTTGAAAACTAAAAGTCAATGTGTGACAGGGAAGCATGGACTGTGATCATGTGACTCACAGAATCCTGGAGCTACTCAAGGCCGGATCTCTGACCTGCCTCTTCCACGATGACGGACTGAGCTCCTCCTGCTCAGCAGAAACCTGGTGTGCGTTTGGTCTGGTATTCCTGACTTTGTGCTGATCCAGAATTTATTCCTGATCTGGTTCGGTGTCAGTCTGAGAGGAGCTGCACAAAGGACGACGGAAACAGACCTCTTTGGTCTGGTTCATCCTCTATGTAACCATGCTGCACGGACACACACACATTTTTGTCACCACTTCAGACTTTCATCCTTAATAAATAACAGAGAATCATATTTCAATCACTCAGACAGAGGAACACTGATACCTACCCACCAGTCGTTGTCCTCCTGCCCCAGAACAACCAGCACCTGTCCCTCAGCGAAGCTTAGCTCATCATTGTGGTCGGCCTCACAGTCGTACAGAGCCTGAACCCGACGACTTGTGGTTCCTCGAGGCTGATTGACACAGATTTTTTAAAATTTATAAATGTACAGTAAGAAGAAATTAAATAACTTTAAATTAAATGTATTATAACAACAACAATATTATCAATAATAATATAAATTATCATTATTATTATTAGTAGTAGCAGTAGAGCTGTGGGAAAAAGCATTTAATTAAACATTTATGCAACTTTTCAAATGTTATTTATATTTCTTCAGGTAAATTCATTTTACGGTGTGACTATAGCCAAAAGTGTATCAATTCCAGTGGAGTTAAATGACACTGAGTCACATTTGCAGGCAGAGATTAGACACAAGTTCAAATATCATCTGAAATGTCGTGAAATGTTGTTTTGACTGTCATTTTCATACACACTGACCAAGGATCTGCGAGGTAGCGGCTGGGGGGCGGGGCCTCTGTGGTCACTCTCAAAGCTCTGGGAGCGATGTTTGGTGGGAGACTCGCTGGGTGGAGCTTTGCTAGCAGGATGCAGGAAGTGGGAGGAGCTACTATCACTGTCTGCCCTCCGGACGCCTCGGAAAGAAAGAAAAAGGAAAAAAAATAACTAACTAAAATTAGGGAATCGATGTAGTATAAAGTAATACGTTTGTATTATAAAAGTTAAACCACCAACCAAAATTAACCATTAAATGTTTCTATTTTTATAAATCCTACTGGAGAATTAGTTTAAATACATGGAGCTGCTGTTCCAGATGGGAATCATCTGCAGAAATACAATGTCATTATTTCACAAATGTAAGTCAATTTTTATTAGTAGTATTTCAAGTACACTGCAGCTCTTAAAACACAGCAGTTTTACCCTTGAAAATGCTAAATATATCATTGCAAGTGCTATGCAACATGAAACAGTGTCTCCTGAACAACCAAGTCATATTTCACAGCACAAGTGATAAATAAAACTGCTTCATCTGTTATTTAAAGTTGTGTGTTTGCTTGTTTTGTAAACATACTTTGCAGATCGGGTTTCTCTGGTACAAGTAATCGTTGCAAATACATTTTTAGAATTTCGTTCTTTAAACGTAGAACCTGAGTAGAATAATGTTTTAAATGCTCTAACTGTGTTTTCCCCCTGTGACGACTTCTAGTCAACATCAGAAAACTCCAATATTTACACAAAATGGATTTAACAGACCCTGGATCTGGATCTGGGAGCTAAAAGGACAGGAAATACCTCTGTGAGGCCGTTCTTTCAGGGAGCCAAGTGGAGAAGCCGGACTGGAAAGTCAGACACAGACAAAAAAAGAGAGACTTGTTATTTGACCTGGGCTTCAACCTGACGAAGAACAGAAACTATTTTTAATTTAAAGGGTTGGAGAAACATTGTCAGTATTGTACTTTCATATGCTCAGGTTATCTGGGAGACTTTTCAGCCTGTGTTTGAATGACAATATAAACAGGATCCCAGTGAAAGGATCTGACATTTCATCAGAAGATTGCAGGCTCAAATCCTGCCCTGACGGCTGTCGAATTCAAAGAGAGTTTTCAGTCATAGGCTGACAGACTGAGATTTAGAAGCAAATAAAAATGTTGTATTTTTGGGCTACGCAAATATAAGATTTGTAGGTTTTAGGAGTTAGCAGATCCCCTGCTATGTGCTGGAGTCTCAAATGTTTGATTTTTCTGAGTTGTCTGAAGGTAGAGCAGGCTGTGACCGAGGCCCCGGCTCAGATGATGATGCCGTAAAAAGAGCTGCTAATAATAAGTTAATAGAGATCATAAAGATTAAAATCATCTACACTAATCAGAATTAAGAACCAATTTGTGACCAGGTCAGATTTGTTTATGGTGCCTACATAAATCAATCTGTGAAAACACACCATAAAAACAAGGACACATGTTTTTGTTCAATAAACACAAAGTCACAGTGTGTTTGGCTGTTGTCCAGATACTCACACACACTTCTTAAAAGAGGAGTCTGGACCACTGTAGAGCCTCGGGCTACTTGGGAAGCCGTAATCTGCACACACACAGAGTTAATTACCCAGCATTTGCATCACTCCCACACATTAGTGAACTGATGTACCATGAGTGCTGGACTCTGAGCCACTCCTCTTGTGTCGGACAGCACCAGAGGTCGACTTCTTGCCTCCCCCTGCTGGAGGGGAGAACACCTCCCCGTCTTCCTCCCCTTCTCCATCCAACCCCTCCCCTAAGGGGGGAGGAGGAGGTGGTGGAATACCTGGAGCTAGAGAATAAGATGAATCCAGAGAGAAGAATTTATTTCAGAGAGAAGTTATGACCTTAAAAAAAATCTATATTTCAATCTCATCTTTCTTAACATTTTTTCTGATGAACTAGATTAATTCAGCCAAAGATAGATTTAGATTTTCTTTAGATATATATATGTTTTAAAAGAGTACAGCAAACCCTCATCCAACATTAACGACCGTCAGAGTGGGGATGTTTTCTGAACACCACAGTGACAAACTGACCAAAGCTGACAGCAGTGAAGTCACACCCAGTGGAAACATTGAGCTACGTCTCAGGAAAACAACATTTAAATTACATCAGGAGTTGACTCTACAGCTGACACTGTTGAATAAAATCTATTTATGAAGATCAATAAAAAAACAAAACATGATGGACACCTTGGTAACCACCTTTGACCCTAGGTGGCAGTGGTGGAGCAGGTGAGGATGGAGGAGGTGGAGGAGGACTTGGAACAGAGCCGGTGGTCCTGCTGTGCAGATCCATGGCCATGGCCAGCCTCCTCCCTACACTGAGGAGACCTCCTCCGGCTCCTGCTGCTCCAGAACAGGGTGGGGCTGCAGGGGATGGCGTGGTCTGGCTTAAGCCAAAGGGACGGGAGGTGAAGGAAAAGGACGAGGTGAAGGACGAAGAGGAGAAGGAGGTGCGTTCCTTCTTTATAGGACCGTTCTGAAATACAAGGACGGAGGTCAGTACTGCTGCAGATGATGTTGGAGTCAGTGATATAATCAGGAACAGACTGATCAAAGCGGGAGCAACATCACAGGTGCTTATTATCTAATGAGCAGAGATGAAACTGACCTTATCTTCATAGTCATCATCACTGTCGTAGAGGTCATCATGACGGAGCCTCCACTCGTACTCCACGTGAACATGATGGTCAAACTGATCAGACTGGGCCTGCTGGAGCTACACACACGTTATACATTAGCACAGGTGGAAAGTAACAACTTACAATTACTCAGGTTACTGTAATTGTGATTGTAGTTTTGGGAATAGGTACTTGTACGTAAGTACATTTTGACTCAAGTGTTTTACTTTGCTACATTTGAAAAGAACCCATTACTGAGTGAAAGATTAAATGTGGGGAAAACGACCTGCGTTAACTGAAAGAATACTGTGTGGGCGTGCGGAGTTCCCACGATGTTAATGTAGCCAGAGAATGTAAACTAATGGACAGTGTCTAGCCTGCAGTTTGATGATGAACAAGAAACAGAGGTTGAGGATTGCCGAGCAGATGACTCAGAAAGAGAAGGAAATCCTCGGCCATATCTCAGCCAGCAAATGAGCCACTAACTTTATCATATGATGTAAAACGTGCCTACCCTGGTGGACAGAGCTGTCGCTGTCAAAACTGAAGTGACCTGAATTTGCAGTGTAAGCGTTCAAATGGATCATAGAATTTCTCTGAGAATCTGCCACTGGCGTCTGAACTGTTGATTAAAAACAACTAGTTGCAGATTAGATGTTTGATTCGTCCTTTTTTGCATCAAGTAAATTAAAGTAACTAAGTAACTTTTACTCAATATTTTTAGATGGGTACTAAATTTTAGTATTTATTTTAGTAAATTTTAGAATTAAAGCAAAGTAAAGATACTTTTACTTAATTACATTTTTCAGTACTTTTCCACCTCTGTACACTAGGTGGCCAGAGTCTCATGTCAATTTAATTGATGAGATTGACATCTAATAAATCATTACTCACCAGCACCTCACACTGGTTGTGCTTTAACCTGCGGCTAACGTCCAGGGCCGTCTCGCCTATCTCGTTCTCTTCACACACACACAAAAACACACACACGTGCATCGGTTTTTAAGGTTCAAAGTGACTTCACGTTTACTGTAACGTGTGTGTTTGTGTGAGTGTCTTACTGATGTGTATGTTGGCTCTGGCCCTCAGCAGCAGTTTCACACAGTCCGTCTTGTTGTGCTGACAACTGTAGTGCAGGGCTGTGTTTCCTGATGACGTCTGTGCATCAACATCGTTCTCGCAGTGGAGAAAAAACACACAAACACACAGAACTGTTGTATTAACAGTAATAGTGACATAAATACAAACTCAGACGTAATAAACCAGTGCTTCGTCTGACTGACCAGTTTTGAGCCAGGAAGTCCAGGATGTGCAGAGACGTCCTGTCACCCAATAAGACGGCGAGATGGAGAGCAGTTTCTCCTTTCTCCTGTCGACATGGAAACAAAAGAGTTGTGCGTTCATATGAATACTTGCATTCAAGTTTAAGCTGTAGCATAGCATATGTATCAAAACTGATGTTCAATCTTTTAGATGCTGGTACAGGTCACAAAGGTCAGTGTGCATGTAGTAGCAGATGACCTGTGTGTAGGCTACGTATTTGTTGTGAACATACCTGTATGTGTGTGTGCAAAGCTTGACTCAAGTCTGTCCTCTGGGCGTACAGCTGGATCAGACTGTAGATGTCACAGCTCTTTGTCGCCTCCTGCAGGCCAATTCTCAGAGCTGCGGGCGAGCTGTGACTCCGTCTGACAAAATGAACGTCCTGATACTTGGACAGGATGAACCCTTTACGCTCTGACCTGCGTACCACAATTATAGACTGTTAAAATATTTAGATTCAAGACTAATAATTGAATTCCACGTGACTAAAATCCACCTCTCCCTGGGTGGGACTCACATATGACTGTGTTGTGAGGGCTTCAGTGACGGACTCAGAAGGTTCGACTCCAGGATTTCATTAAAACCAGAGTTGCCAACACTCCTGGCCAACTGGGAGGCAAAAAGAAAATATGGCAATGATTAGGAATGTTTATGGAAAAACATTCTCTGGAACAGACCTTCAAAAAATACCAACAAAAAAGAATAATAAAATGAAGAAAATACAAGCATTTTTTAACAATGTACCAGCAGATCTGAAGTTCCCAGACTGTCCAAACTTAAGGACTTGATCCTGGAGACATGGACTCCCATCTCTCTGTGGATCCCTGAACACTCGATACATGTCAGGATTCCCAGGTTTGTGGAAAGCCATCCGGGATCTACGGAACGTGTAAGAGGAAAACAACCAGTACAATAATAGTGGAGTCTCCAGTCATGTCACTGGGTCACATGGGGGGCATAGTGCTGTGTTCATCTGCTGGGATGTTACCCTGTGTTTGCAGTTCCTTGTTTAAAAAAAAGAAATTGGAACCATCTGGATGGAAGTATTTACCGTTGCAAAATCCAGCCGAAAGGTGGCAGTATTGCAACTTAAATGATGAAAAAACCATTTACCTTGATGTGAAAGCTCACAGTGCTATCATAACCTATAGATATACATGCAGTGGACTGATAAAACAAACCTGGAGCTCCACAGTCGCAGCAGCTGTTGTTTCCCGGCATTCGTATGACGTCATCAGTGATTGCCCGGGTCAGATCCTCCACACTGCTCTCTCCCACTCCTCCCCCTTTCCTCCCACCGTCCAGAGCTACACTCAGAGCCTCCTGCTTGCTGTTACTGAGCACTGAGATCCAGCTGAGCAACAAAAACAAACATTTTAAAACTCTTTGGAAAAATGATCAACACTAATGCAGTAATGACTTTACCATCTCTGACACTCACGCTACACACTCAGCCTCATCTTCAGCCAGGAAGTGGTAGGTCCGATTATCTGGAGGACCATAAGACACAGCCTGGATTTTAACTTGTTCTGTTTTTGAATGGGGAAATGCATTGACAGCTGCATAACATACAGTGTTATAACGACCCTCAACAGCTCCTTCTGCTGGATGTCAATTAACTCAAGACATTATCAGAAAACTAATGTCTGCAAACAGCCAAATGGACTTAGAACTACAAATAGATTGGGGTGTAGTCCACTTGGGGAACTAACTTTAAATTCAGTTTTCAAGTAAACAAAAAAGACAAATCAAACGTGCATTTCTTACAGGAGATGAGGTCGAAGCATTTCTTGTCCTCCACGCTGGGTTTAACCTGACAGGTGAGCAGGTTGAGTCTGGTGGGGGGTTTATTAGGCTGAGGAAGACAGAGGTGGTGAAAACAGAGCTGCTGCTAAAATGTCACAGAACACACAGGTGAACTCACGGTTGCATGTGCAATGGTCAGGTAACAGTTGTGAACGGTGCATTTCCTTTTCTGCCACATCTTCCTCAACCTGGAAGACAAACGGAGAAACTCGATGACGATTGCGGTGCTAATTATTTCACTGTCCATGTTGATCTGTGTTTCTTTACCCGTCACTCTTCTTGTAGAGAAATCCTGTTCTCTCTGTTCCGTACTGTTTGTCTCCCAGCAGCTGATGCATGCTGTAAACCTGCTTGGGTAGAGAAAACTACACACACACACACATGAATCATCAATCACATACACACAACATTTGTGACTGTTTCTGCAGTCAGTTGTGGTGTTTTTTCCACAGACCTGTTCAGTGTGGACCACAGGCCTCAGCTGATCTCTGATGGCACACAATTGTCTCTTCTCCTCCTCGTGACGCTGCTTCACCTGCACACACACACACACACACACACACACACAGGACAAACAGCTGAGTTGGACGTTCACCTGACCTCTGCTCCTTCACTGGAGCAAACTGGTCACATACATGCTAACAGATTAGAGATAATTCACTTAGTTTTCCAGATCAGAGATCCCCAACCACTGGGCCGCAGACCAGGATTTGGCAAATGCGCATTTCATACAGGGCCACAAAATATTTGTATGACAAATATGAATTGCATTTCAATAATTATTAATTATTTGTTTGATAGATGTTTTACTTTAAGAAATGAACGCCTCCGTCATCATTACCGTCGCTGTAAATGTGGTATTTAATGATAATAAAACAAGACAAACTCTGGTACAGAAGACATGTAAGAAGGACAAGGTTCAAGTCACTTTTCAAAATAAAAATCTTAGGAGTGCTTTTTAAGGGAAGAAAAAGTCCATGAAAGACAGATGATGAGTGTTCTAAAATAAAAGAATGTTGCTTTTACTGTCCTACTCACAGTACGGCATTATGATGTGTAATTTTTGTTTTTTGTTTTAAATATCAGTTTCTGTATTGTGCATTTTTGTTGCAGTTTGCAGAACATTTTGTAAGTTTATTGTTCTATAATTTGCCTGTGGTGCAAAAAAGTTTGTAGAACTCAGCTGTAGATAGCATGTAGCAGCTGCTGTGCAGACACAATGAATTGGGTCATATGTAAAATGACAAATTAGGGTGTTGTGTTTGGCCATTTTTAACTGACCTTGAGTGACCTGGGGCCATGCTGTAGTTTTATGTAGTTAAAATGAAAGTATCAAATGTGTTCAAACTGGAGCCTCATATGTGCACCTCAAATATATTTTGCCTACTATGCGTGCAGTTTTCCTCATGCAGCAACGCCAACAAAATCTCTCTAAACTGCAAATAAAAAACTGCCTACTCCAACTTTATTTTTGTTCTACTTCATTAGAGTATTAAAGAGAGTCGCAGTCATACCGTGGTCAGTACTCCATTCAGCTCCTCCATGTACTGCTTTAACTTCTGATTGGTGGAAACACACTCCTGCAGGAAACTACACACACAAACGAGTTAATACAGTTGACTTTCTGCATCAGTAACATGTCTTGTGTGTTTGACTCTGTGCACATGTGTGTTTCAACTGACTTGTTGTGACTGTGGCAGTGTTTGATGAGGTTCTGCAGCAGGTCCACTCCTCGTTTGGTCTTAATCTCATTCACTTTGATCAGATACTGAAAGACAGAAAAAAAATACTGCACGTTTGGAATTGAGGATGAGGAATTAAACATTAAAAAACATTTGAATGATTTTCACTTCAAAAGAAATAACTGATCAAACAAGAAACCCCCAAGTGTGTGTGTGTCTGTGTGTGTAATCAATGACTGACCTCGCACATGCCCAGTTGGAAGGAGCGTCTCTCCTTCTCCAACTCCTCTGCAATCTCCCCTCCGCTCACCTCGCTCCGCACCATACCATACTGACGGGCCAACTCCCTCTTCTCCTTCTCCACCTGCTTACTGCAAAATCACACAGAAAGGAACACGGGCGTTGCATAAAAATAAACTGCAGTTCGTGACCCTACATCAGTCACATTGTCTCAACATCAGATCCCAGTTAAAAAAAAGAAATATAAAATAATCCTGAGTGAACGCCACCCTTCTTCATCATCACTCACAATCTGCTCTCGTAGTCTCTCCAGGCTCGTTCAAACGGCTTCTTCAGATCCTACAAGAACACAGAAGTGAGAGTGATTTATTATTGGGTCTTTTCACAACCTGAGATCTGTCACTGTAAACACACAGTTTATACAGTGATGAGAGTAGACTATAAATAAAACCTCACCCCTTTCACCTCCCTCAGGTCTCCTTTAATCAGAGAGTCCAGGAAGAAGTTGATGTTGAAGAGCATGCTCTTCAGCTGCACCACAAAGAAATAGACCGTAGTCTATCAGATACATTAAATGATACACTTTTTGCCTAACCTAACATTTAAATAAAGTGTACTTAATCTATACCATCAATATAACTTAACCACGCAGGCAAAAACCATTGCCTTTTGCAACAGATGTGATGGATGACATGAAGTGGACGCATGAAGTGCATGGTTGCACTCAGGTGACGCCCAACGTCTAAGTGCTTTAGCCACCAGGGGAAGCTAATAGTCTTAGAGAAGCTGATCTTACATTGACCAGCAGAATGTAAAAAAATAATTAATTAATTAATTTTAGAAATAAAAAAAAATTGCAATAATTCCAGTGATGTCTTGGGTCATGTTATTATTTTATGTATAAATAAAGTGTAGATAAAAAAAGAAAAAGCCAGCGATAAAAACATATGGTTCCTATCGGGAAGTGGCACAGTAGTAGAACAGACACCATTACCAGGTTCTTCATCGGAGAGATGAGCTCTTTGGAAAAGTCTGCAAAGCGGTAGAAGGCAGAGCCAACCTCTGCCTCTCCGTTTGAGTGACAGTTGACTGAGAGCTTCTCCATTGCATTAATATATTGCTCCAGGTGAGACACATGGTCTAGAGGAGGAAAAACAAGAGAGCATCAGTACACAGACTGGTGTACACTGGTGTGTGTGTGTGTGTTTGTGTGTGAATTCCTCCACCTTGCCCTGATGTGTATTTAGCTTTGGCAGCTTTCTTCATTTTCTGCAGCACCAGTCGATCACTATCCAGAGCCTGAACACACACACAAAAAACAGAACACCGTCATGTTTCATTCATCTCCAACAATCTGCCCTGTCTGCCGAATGTGTGTGTGCTGATTCAACAGACTCTGAATGGTTGAGCTTTGTTCCCTGAACACAAACGGCCACATTTCTGCGTGAGTGAACCTGCTTCTCATCACTTCATAAACCCCACAGGAAGCGGCTGAAGGTGGTTTTATTTTCATCCACTGTGTCACTTAGCAACGTGACTGTAGCTTTTTCTACTCAGGCACTGAGGTCATGACAGAGAGAAGTAAACGTAAGCAAGGACTAAAAGTGAAAAAGTCTACAGTGAGTTTGAATGTAGTTGATAGTCAGAGTTTGAGGAGGTCCAAATTAAAGAGTATAGATCCCTAGAAAACCTGTAGTGACTCTTATGATTCAAATCTGTTGGAAAATATGTTGACCACAATGTCAACTTTGAATGTATGAATGGCGGTGGAGCCCATCATACGACTCCTCTAATGTCACATGACGTTTTATTGTCTATTTTCCTCTAACTGGAACTCCTCTAACTATTTTCTCTCTAAACTGGAGACCATCGAGTTCTTAACTTCCTGTGGAGTTAGGCCACCAGACCAGTTTTGAGACATAGCAGCTGTAACAGTAGTATTAGCTGCTGTATACAGTACATCTTCTGAGGCTACTATACTGTAGTTTTTATTTGACTGTTTACATTACTGTCCCAGTTAGACAACACCTGCATCTGTCTGCTGTGTGGTGGTGACCATCTATCCTTATTATCACTGTAAAAATGATCAGGCCCCTCCTTACTCATCCATATAATAACAATGCCTACAAACTGCGATTGTTCTGTTGCCATGGTTACTTACACAGTCTCTGTAGGGGGTTGTGGCGGCAACTTATACGCCTGGCAAATAATCAGGTCAGTGAGTTCAAGTGTGTGTGTTTGTGCGTGTGTAAAATCCAGACAATCTTGAATGATAATCATCATGTCCTGGATTTAAAAAAAAAAAAACATACTAAATTAGTTAATCCAAAAGGGCGGCCATGGGGAGTCTGCAGCATTAGCATTCATTCAACTTCTAGGTTGATAAGCGCATTCAAAATTTTAAAATTGCCTCCTAAAAATATATATATATATTTTTTATGTATTTGTTAGATTTTTATAATACATTTTTTGTACCATTTGGTTTTTTTACTAGCAATTCTTCACTTCCAACAATACTGTAATAAAAATATTAACAGAGTCTAATTTCTAAAGATTGAATGGCTCACCTTACCTTTAATATTAGAACGTTAACCCCTCCCCGTAAATATCGTCCCTAACCTTAATTTAATTCTTATTATTATTTCGTCAGGTGTATTTGAAGTGATTTCCTGCATACTCTACCTTTAAAGTAAACCATTTCATCACAGCATATTTAGTGGAACAAATCTAAGAAACACGTTATTTTAGAGGAATAACGTGAGCATCAAACACTAACATTAGCAAACACATTTTTCAACGGTGGTCAACAAGTAAACCTCTGCTTATACACGTGTTTGACCAGTGTCCAGTGCGGCCACAGTGTTTGTATGGTTAGTTTCAAACATGCATTCCTTTTTGCTAAGCGCTGTATACCGTATTTTAATTTAATTATCACGATAATATCGTAAATTACATGCGTTATCAACAATGACGAAGAAAAGTGATTCTGACCTCCTCCAGCAGGTAGACAGTGTTCCTGCAGCTCATCATCTTGGAGGTGAAGGAGGAGGTGGTGGGGGAGCTCCAGTCCTCCTGAACCTCCTGCACGAACTCTGACACCGACACATACTCAGGCATGGTGCCGGTTCCGACCCAGATCGAGACCAAAGAACAGGCGATCCAATCAAAGTGAAAAACAGATCAGGTAGTTGAAATATTAATATCTAAAAAATATAGAATAAAATAAAATGTGGATGAAATCCCATCAGCAGCAGTGTTTCCGGCTCCGGCAGATGAAAAGGGACGATAATTGTAGAGAGAAGATCCAGTGACTGCTCTGATCACCGCAGCATCAGTTCTTCCTTCAGACAAAGAGAATAAAATCCACCGGGTAAAAATTGACCGAGGTCCACAGATAAAAAAAAATCAGTTAAACAAAGCAGGCAATGACCTTACAGCAGCCTGTTTGAACTAACCAGCCTCTCCTCGGTCAACGCGCCCGGCTCTGTGCGTAAACCCGCTGACAAAGAGCAGAGGAGCGGAGAGGAGAACCGGGAAACCGGAGGACCGCAGAACCGAACTCAGATTAAAAAAATATAATACCGCTCTCTAATACAGGGTTCAGTCTCGGCCACGTGTCTTCTTCAACCATCAGCTCATCATTATTATTATTATTATTATTATTTTTTTGTCTTTTCTTCTTTATTCTAACCGCATGAAGCTGCGCGTTCTCGACACACGCGAGCCGAGCGTCTCCTCCTGCTACTGCAGCGGGGGCGCGCACAGCTGACCGAGCCTAAAGAAGAGAACATGGAGAAAAACTGAGATAGGTTAGATCGTCAGAAATATTAGGTCTTTTGGGGTTTCACCTGTTTCTTTAAGAAGGGAGACGAAATGAAAGATATATAGAAAGAAAAAAGAAACAAAGAAACATGAGCACGTGTTTGATTAAAGGAGAGCTCAAATCCAATTTGATGATTAGATTTAGTTAATTTTGAAATGTTTAATTTAATGATGTTGAAATGTACAACCTTAAGTAATTAAGACTACTTGACTTACTTTGCCATCTGTCTGATCTGTCATTAAAAAGGGGAAAATACATTTTACTTTCCTATTCTTTTCTATGAAAAGAAAAGAAAATATCTGATTTTCATTTAAAAGTGCTGACTCAGTAAAATGAGACAGACATTTGTACAAAACAATTATACAGTAAACCACACTAAACAGTGTTCATATGTACATATGATGAAGCTGAAAGGTGAACAAATATTGTAGTGCAGTCTATGATGGTGTTCGGTTTTTTGAATTACTGGAAATTCTCCTTTTCACAAACCCAGTCCGACAAAAACAGGCGCAGGAGTACGATTGATGACGCGCTGTTGTATGTCGGCATCCGTTGCACTCAGGTTTCTTCACCCATTGATAATGAGTGAAGAGATTTGCTGAGGCAAAGTGTAGATAATGAGGACCAGGAAGACTGTGAGGACACCCAGGATAATCAGAGCGATGATGAACTTCTTGAACTTCCTCCAGATGAGGAAGATAAAGGTCTTCATGGGGTTAATGAACCAGTTGAAGTTGGTGGTCGGACGACTGGACGGGCGACAAGGAAGTAGTTGTCAAAAAGTTATACAACCATATATACAACTATATATATCAGACACTGTGTGAGTACTAGTGTGTTTTTTATCCTGGTACAGTTTGTTGTGGGGAAACTTTGTCATTGTGGAGAGATTATATTAGATTAGATTAGATTAAACAGTTTTGATCCTACACCGGGTGTAATTTATATGTATTTCTGAGGTATTAAAATGTGAAATCTAATGTGAGATGGTGTTAGGATTAGACTGAGGGTCAGATTAGAGTTAGGGTTATAATCAGATTAGCAATAATGCACAGTTGTAATAGTTAAAGTTCAGGTTAGTGACTATAGGGCAGGCGTTATGACACGTCATGTTAAGACAAACACCAGTATGCATGTGTGTGTGAATGAGTGTGTGTGTGTTTCATACTTTGGTTTGTCCAGAGGTTCTGGCTCCTTGCGTTTCCGGCCCACAGGGTTGGCCTCCGCCTGCTCCAACGTCACCAACTGAAGTTCAGCCTCCACCTTCCCCTTTACACAAACAGACACACACACACAGTCGTCATTATCAAAACAATTGCGGGGTACAGATAGCGTTAGCATGTGTGACTGTACTTCTCTACCATCAACAGAAAAGTGTTGCCACTGCTGTCGGTGAACTGCAGTTCCTCCTCCTTCATCCTGCTCCTTCTGTCTTTGCTCTTCTTCTTCTTCTTCTTGTCCTTTTTCTCCTTCTCCTCCCTCTCATAGTCCTTGGCCGTCTTCTGGCGGGTCAGCGGCCACCAGCCTTTCATCTTCTTGGAACGAAAGATGGAGAATCGCGGCATGGCTCGATCCTTGGCCAAATCAATTTTGCACAGACCTGACGACTTTGCTGGTCGCACCATGTCATTGAGACGCAGCTCAACGGAGCCTTAAAGAACGAGGACAGAACACTGACAAGGATCAGTAGGGCGAAAAAACGACTGAATTTAAAATAAATAAATTTTACTACAAGTGTGTTTCTGTCAGAACTCACCAAGGAAGTCGTTGGATAAAATTCGATCATAGTCCCACACCTGCAGGACCAGAACAGCTGGCTGTCGAAACTCTGACTCATCCAGAGAGAAGAAAGACTCCTTCTTCTTATAAACCACCTCTTTCTACAAGAGAAAATATAAAGTGACAGCATATCTATCATGCAGGTCATGGTCAAGGTTGAAGAATTACGTTAGGCAACTGGACGTGAAATTTTCTCAGAACTGAAGATGCCTCTTGGATGAGAGGCGAATCGTCTTCTTGAGAAAATTTCATGTGCCTGACGGCATTTCCACAAGCTAACCAGCAGGGGGGGTTGGTTAAAAACTTCCATAAGTAAAATCAAAAACATATTATTTATTGTCAGAAATAAGTCTGGCAAAATGCTTTGTTAAAATATGAAGATGTTACAACCCTTGACATTGGCTCCAATTCATATTAAAGTGTTGGTTGTCTGTGTACCTCAGTAGGAAGGTAGTCAAAACGAAACAGAAACCTCCAGTTGAAGTTTCCTTCTCCAGTCAGAGAGTTGAAGTGAACGTCGGTCTCCTGTTTGTCTTTTTCCAGTCCTTTAATCCATCTGGACAGAGGATGTCCAGGATTAATGTTCAATAACATGTTACTTAATAATAATAATAACAACAACAACAACAACAACAACAACAACAACAATAATAATAATAATAATAATAACAATAATAATAATAATAATAATAATAACGTGTCTGACCCTTTGACATAGATGTCGGAGGACGGGTCACCAGTGAACGGGTTGATGTCTTCCAGAAAAACATCGTCTGTGTTCCAGATGATCACCCGCAGCTCGTACCTGTTGCCACAGTGCTACATGACAGTGTGTTCTCTACTATAACGGAATATGTTCAGCTCTTAGTGACACAGCGTTGACTTACTGCTCAGGTTTACGCAGCTTTATATCAACAGGGGGCGGAGCTGGAACATCAGTGGGAAACATGTCCACCCACATATGAAGGTAACCCTGCAGCACACACACACATACACACACACACTACTGATTAATGAAGTACTGCTATTGACTGATTATATAATTGTTGCCTCTGTTTTTAATCACCTGTGGCATTCCAGGTTTGTCCTGGTTCTGTAAGGACCGGACCTCCACATGTTCTGGAACAAGAGGGAGGGCACTAGGGAGGAACTCCTTCATCTCCACCCAGCGATGAAGCACACTCAGAGCTGCATGTTCCTCCATCTCTTCCTCCTCCTCTGGCGTGAGCTCGTTCTTTTTCAGCAGAGCTGTTAATGACAACAGTTAGCATGACAATCATATCTGTGGAGGAGTAACTGAGATGACGACCCAGTCTGTCTGACACCTCCACTCACTGAACATCAGACCTACCTTCAGGAATGGCGTCGGGTGGGATTTTGAAGATCTTGTTGAGGACTTTAACCTCTTGTGTTCTGTACTCTGGAGCCGGGATGCTGTTCTCCCTGCAGAACTCGCCTAAGATAGTGGTCGGCTTTTTGGCATCACGCCATATGTTGTAACCATCACTGGAAAAAGTTGGACAACAGAAAGAGAGAATTTTTTTTGTTTTGTGTTGGGATCATATGTCAATTTAAAAAGGTTTTCAGCTTTTCTGGACATGTTTTTTCTAAATACAAAAATGAAAACATAGTTTTATACTGTTTTTGGTCTATCATTAAAATTCTAATCACTACTTTGTGTTTTTTATACAGTTATGTTCCAGACTGGCTGTGACTACACACTCTGTAATTTTAAATGTAATTAAAACTGTTCTATGTGTGTTTCTCTCTCCGCAGACCTGTTTTTCCCAGAAGCCTTTTCTCCTTTAAATAACATGATAGAATTCAATTTTAATCACTGTAATAGCTATAATTCATTGCTCTCTATACAGTACTCACTTAAACAAAGGAAAAAATACATAATCTGTGCAATTTCCTTACTACAGAGAGAATTATTAAACGAAAACAAATTGTCTAAATTTACAGGTCTCTACAGAAAAAAAAGATAAGACTTCAGGAACCACTGACAGTGGTGGAGACAGAGTACTAACGTGTCGTAGTAAAGAGCCAGGCCACAGGAGGCTCTGTGTCGACTGTAGAAGCGATTCTCCAGGTCCACCTGTGTTTCACCAATGGCATCGTCAGAGCCCACAAGATCGTGGTCCATGACCTTGATCAACAGGTCTGTCTCCAGTGGGAAGGACACAGTGAATTCAAAGACTCTGAGGGAGACAGTCGGAGAGTGAGACAGTTTTGGTGGGACATTATGAACAGAGCCAAAAAGATACACGGTAGTGCAGACAGACACTGACTCTCCAAACACTGGATTGAGCTGTTTAGGGATGTATCGGTCCTTGGTGTTCTGGCTCTGTGGTCCAACTTTTAAAACCAGGTAGGGATCAGCTTTTCCATTGGGGTCAGTGGGAGCCAGGTTGGTGGCCTGGACATAAACACAAATATAATAAGGCACACATGTGTAGAGCTCATACTGGAATATAACTTATAAATATCCACATAGAAACGGAGTACCTTAATGATGTAGACTCGCACCAAAACTTTAATTGGGGAATTCTTGGGGATTCCTTCAGTGATCTGACACTTGGTTTCATCTGTGTCTTCTGGATTAATGGGATAAATCAGGAATGATCCCTGAATAGAAAATTGATAAATATTAGTCACTTATTAGCATAAAATATTAGCATAAAAAAAACAATCCTCATTTGCTTCACCTTAAACTTTCCCATCCATCTGTCCTCTTCATCCTCATCCTCGTCTTCACCCAGCGCCTTTCCTTTGTACAGTGGAAAGATTTTCAGCCAGTCTTGAAACTGCTTGTACTCCATCTCCAGATCACGTGCATACAGCTGAAGACACAGACCAACGCAGCAGAAACTTTTAGGAAAAGTCCGACTGTCTAAGGTCAGCCGCCACTGACCTGTCACTGACCTTCAGCGTAGCAATCGGCTTTCGTTTTGGAGGCTCGATGTCAATCACCACAACCTCCTCCTCTTCATCTTCAATGTTAGTCATGGACATGTGTGCTGCATCTGAAATAAGATTAGACTTAGACTTGGATTTTGTGTTTTCTCACTCATGTTTAAATCATTGGTTCATTGTATTTAATTCTGTGAAAAGATTAAAAAAAGTAATAAATCAGTAAAATAACTTGAACGTGAACATTTGTGATTATCTCTCGGATAAGTTGTTCTTCATCTTCACTGACTTTACAGTAAATTACTTAGCTGTTCACAGAATGTAACAAGGATAAAAGGACAGATGTGTAGTCTTCTGTTTGATCTGAAGCAGTTCTGGCCTGGTTCATTTAAATCTTTTTAATTATTTTCAGTTTGAAAATATGTGTATATTGTACACCACCGTTCTTTCCTTTTTTAACTTACAGTACCAAATATAATATTGTATTCTCTGTAACTCGATGAAAGGTGAGGCTTAACTGAAGGTTTTATAAAGCTACTACACTGATTCATTGGCAGTTTATTATTATTTTCCGTACCTGCATCTGTTTGTTCCTCCATCTCTGCCTTTTTGGCAGCCTGCAAGACAAACAGGCAGAATGTGCAACTAATTTATCATTAAATAAGTAATTTTCACATGATCTATCAAAAGAAAGACATTTGGATGGACGAATGGATGGACGGATGAATGGATGGACGGACCTACCTCTTTTTCCAGCTCATACAGTGAAGCGTAGTACTTGGACCACCAGTCCAACTCCTCCTTCTCTGGCACCTCCTCTTCCAGCTCCTCCTCTTTTTTCTTCAGCCTCTTAAAAGGAGACTTTAAGGGCAGAACGAGCATCAACATCAGCATCTTTTTTTGTACAGAAACAGGAATATTGAAGAGTCTTATTTCCAGCACAAACCAGCTGCAGAGGGTTGATGGGAATCTTTGACTGTTTGAAAGTCATGGTACTGAGTCCAATTCTCTTTATGGCTCCTAAAGAGTTGGCCTTTGGTGGGTCCAGCTTTACCAAAGGAACTGAAAAAGACACAGTGACAATTTCAAGCTAACTGCTTATTGAATGATGTCAACAACAAAAACGATCCAATAATTCTAGAGTGAGAGCAAATTTGTTTTTTTTATTTAACAATACAAATATTGACCAACTTTAATACTGTGGTAGTTTGTACCTCTTGGTTTAGGCTCCTCCTCATCTTCTTCCTCTAAGCCCCCTCCCAGTTCAGGTGGGGCGTAATCCATGAGACTTTGAACCACATTAGACCCAACCAAAGCAATGCGACCAAAAGCACGATGTTCAACCACAAACAAAGTAAGAGGAGGATGAAGGTAGGCCTGTTCTGGAAGTTTCTGTTTGTATACATGTACATATATATATATATTAGTTATATATCGTAAAAATGTATCACAAAAAAATGTAATTAAACTTGAATGTTTAAAGCTAAAAGCATGTTTTTGCGATTAATGAAAGCAGACCACGTCGATGTAGCGGACCAGCTCTTTAAAATTTGGATGATCTTTGTAGCTTTCGATCTCCTCAGACTCCAGCCGATGACCTGCACACTCAACCCTCACTAGGGGGCGCTCCACCTCAAACAGCTGCACCCTCTTCAGTTCCCGAAGACCCCAGAACAGCACCTGAAGATTCAAATTATGAGACATCCTGTAAGTGTGACATCCCATCAACACTGTGACCATCTAAAGCAGGGGTGTAAACTGGTTTTATTGGGGGGCCACATCAGTAAAACAGTTCCCCTTGAAGGGCAGATTGTAACTGGAAGACTGTACAGTAACTACTCAATAACGTATTAATACATGTTTCTGCAAATGATTATTGTTTATTCAAGTTACAAATACTGTATACAGCTCTGTGTAGTAAAAAAACAATTTATCTGGTTAAGCAGCATGGACTTCATTATAAGACAAACACTTCAAGCAACAGCAGGCCACACAAAATGACTTAATGGGCCACATTTGGCCCGCGGGCCTTAACTTTGACACATATAATCTAGAGAAAGATTTATTTCCTGTCAATCACTCTCCAACCTCTTAAAGGATTTTCCTATAAAGTAGACACATGTCATCTGCAGGGTCTATGTATGGTCTTTGGTGTGTGTGTGTGTGTGTGTGTGTGTGTGTGTGTGTGTGAGAGACCTCGATCCTGAAGGTCTTCAGAACTGGGCGGACTCCTTCTGGAATGTTGTAATATCTCTCATCCTCCTTGAGGGTCAGTTCCTGAGGGTCCACAGTTTTTGGAAGACCGGGCTAGATATAAGATAGAGCAGAAACAGAAATGGGAATGTTAATGTTTGATGACATTGTTCAGGAGATAATAAACACATGATCCAATATTATTGACAATTTACAGACAAACAAACTGCGTTCAGTAAGTCAATGGCTGGTGTGTTGGCTGTTGACTGGACTTACTTCTCCAAAGCAGGAGTAGTCCAGCTCAATAAGCTCAAAGGCAGCCAACAGTTCTCCAGTGGCAGCTCGGCCTTTGCTGATGTCAAAGAAGCGTAGAGAGGGCTTCTTGTAGAAAAGTTCCACAGGTTTGAACTCTGGGTAAGCATAGGCCCGACCCAAAGACTTTGGACTGCCCTGCAACATAAAAACATCCCATGTCATGAAATGAATGCTACCATGACGACACATAAAAATGATAAAGTCCTTCTTTACCACTGCATCATGGTCAAAGATGTTGATGATGATGAGGGGCGGGTCTCCTTCAAGCTCCTCCCTTGTTCCTTCCAGCAGGACTCTGTCAAACAGCAGACACTCACACCAGGCTGGAGACAGCGTTTGATTCAACAGCTGAGAAAAAAAAAACACAGTAAAAAATAAGTCTACAAATGTACTAGGTATGTAGAACTAACTTAAACCAACGTAACAGCTGCTCCTACCCTGGTGACCTGACACTGGGTGGAGAAGATAACTTTAGCAAAAGGATCTGATAGGCCGTTGTCATCTGCTGCAATCAGACCTCGGGCCTGGTACATGTGACATCGTAACTGGAAGTACCTGCTGTCTGTAAAGGAAAAAGGAAAATGTACCGTCACCTGTGCAGGAAACTCAGGACCACCAGGAATGAAATGTCAGGAGGAATGATAGTGGTGAAGCTCATTTACCCTGACAGGACAGACAAATGGGAAGCTTCCTTTTTCCATCTCCCTGGGCATTCTTCTGCTCATCTTCATCTTCCTCCGCATAGATGGGCAGGAACTCCTGTGGCAGGGAGCCAGTGGCCTCTTTACTGTATTTGGAAGGGCCGAACCATAAGTAGACCTCCAGCTTTGCAAAGATCTCACTTGATGAACTTCCTGGAGACTAAATAGACATGGAACGAACTGTCAATCAATAATCAATCAGCTACTTTGGAATGGATGTTAAGACAGTTTGTAAATGTCACATGTTGGAGATAATGTTTTATTTAAAATACCTTCATGTAGAAGGTGGTGACCCGACCACAGTCCCGCCCCTTTTGCTCCTCCACCAGTGCATAGAAGATGGAGTGGGATGGAATCCTGATGTAAGCCAATCTCTTGGTTCCTCTCAGCAACCACAGGAACACATCTGGGATGGTGCTCTGGGGCTGTTGTGCAGTAGAGGAGACAGACTTTAGTCATTCTATACACTACAACCAATCAAGTCTTAATGAGGTCATAAGGTGAGGTGTTTCCAACCTCTTTAGACAGGAAGCGAAGTTTCTTCAGGAGTTTTCTGCTGTCCATTAAACGCTGTTTAGTGTTCTTCCTAGTTATCCTGCGCTTGGCTCTCACAGCTTGTCTAGCCAGGAGGATCTGAGGTCAAAACGTATAGATAATGAGGTGATAGACTGGATGGGACACAGACTGTGACAGAAAAGAAGAAACTCACCAGGTTCTTCTTTATAAAACCCCTTCTGCATTTGTCCAGATGGTTGGGTCGAAACTGAGACCTTCGTTCTCCAAACACACTAAACTGCCTGCAAACAGACGGCAAAAAGTTTAGGTGAAGACAGAAGAGTCAGAGACAGAGTATTTTCACAAGAAGATACCTACCTGCAGGAGGCTACTAGGCCGAGCAGCACCTCCACCAGGCGCTCCTTGGCATTACTCCTCGGTCTTCTCAGGAGACGTTCTACATCGTCCAGACCCATCTCCTACATGGACAGACATGTAGTACTTCATGACGTTTTTGTTTCTCTCTGACAACAAATGGTCCAACTAGAGTAGAAATTTCACGAATATCACATTATTTTTGGAAAACATCATAAACAGCGGCCTCTTACCAGCCGGTCTGCCATCTTGCTGAGCCAGTTCGTCTGATAGAAACGAAAACTGTGATCTTCATACTGAGTCCAGATGAACAGACAGGGCTTCTGTTTCACAGAGGGGGGCTGGAGGGGGACACACTGATAGGACCTGTGACACAGACAGACATCAAGGATAGATGGAATGACAATTGTTTACCAATGAGTTGCAGAAGGGATTATTTACCTGTCATACTCAGTGGGCTCCGGTCTCATGGGATCAGACACTGATCTCATCTCTGGTTCCTGTTCCTGAACCTCCTCTCGGTCCAGCTCCTCTTCTGAGTCTAGCAGATTCTGTGTCTCCTCGCTCAGGTCATCCCTGCTACCCTGCAGATCCTCCCTGCTCCTCCGTAGCTCCTCCCTACTCTGGTTCTTTTTAGATTTCTTCATCCTCACTACCTTCCCATAATTACCTGTAAGTCACAGAACAGTTGGTGAAGCTCAGGAGTTTGCTTAAAAAACGTTTCTTGAAGTTGATTTTACCACATCATTTCAATATCAACTAGGTTCCACCTTGGCCCAATAAGAATTAAAGAGATTAAAACAGTATTTAAAAAATTAACTAAGTAATTTGTTAGAAAAAACATAAAAACAAAAGCATCACTTCACCCTATAAGAGTTCATATGGCTTTATTTTTTTACCAACTTGCTAGACATTGGGTTGGTTAACCTTTTTACCTATGGACAGTTCAAAGGTCAGTGGTCTTGTTCCTACAGACGGATCCATCATGGTTATTTCAAATATAGACGCAAACAACAGGAAATCCTCCAACTCTCCCAGGAAACCCTGCGGATGAAAAAATGGACATTCAAAAATGACAGCAGACATGTTGTCTTATTTATAAGGTGTTTATAAACTCTCGAAGTATGAAGGGGAAAATAACATGGAACATGGAGCTCCACTAAAAATAAAAGCTAATGTTCATGAATAAAAAATGACATTGGTGGTTGGAAGCACTGACTTCAGGGAGGGGATGTGTCTCCTCAGTCTCCACAGTAACAGACTCCGGGACCTCAATCCCTGCCTCCCCCGATTCACTGTCAGCCATTGATGCTATGGGAAACAAAAGGCAGTCAGAATTCAACTCATTCAGACCCTATCATAGTTTTCTTCATAGTATACAAAAGACTAACCATCATTTTTATCCTTCTTCTTGCTGGTCCTCTTCTTCCTCAGTCCCAACTTACCCAGTGCCCCCTTCCCCTGAAGTGCAGAGGAAAGTAGGTGATGTACAAAGATGAGCTGTGGTCATGCATGGCTTTATCTGTACAAAGATGAGCTGTGGTCATGCATCATTTGTCAGGTGATAAACCTGACAAATGATTGAGCACTTTTTACCAACTTCAGGGAGGGGATACCTTTCCAGCTGATGCTGCATCTACCACAGGTGCAGACGGTGACACGTAAACCTCAACACAGAGAGCAACCAGGACACGACCTCGATAAAATATTCCTTCACCCAGACCTTGGTTTAAAGCCTGGGAAGAGAGAGAAAGAGAGAGAGGCCATGATCATTAGTCTATTTCCATTCATCTTCAATGGTTGCTCAGAGATTCAATGTGCACAATTTTTTTATGTATAAGAAATACATATAACTATTTAAACAAAACAAAAAAGACTGATGTCTTGAACAGAGATGGATCTCATTGTGCTATGAAAAGTTATAGATTCAATTGTTTATTTTCTAAATTTAATGCTTAAGATTTGACATTTGTTGTACCTGGTGGACGTCTCCAAGCGTGGAGTTCTGTGGGGAGCCGTACAAGTTCACCCAGCATGGACCAAAAGTAGGGTTAAATCCTGCAAACAACAGACAAATGTCACATACTCCAACAATGTGCAAAAAAAAAAAAAATCTAAATAAACATGATACACTTTACAGACTTTTCTCCTATCGCGGTAGTTGCGTTCCAAGAGCCACCACGAAAAGGGAAAACCCACGAAGTAGAGGCGAGATAGTGATTATATCATTTACGTATATACGTATTTACCCCCCTCAACCCTCAACCCTCCCTAGACTGTATCACCCTTTCCCATACAATTACATGCACAGTAGAGTTGTACAAAGGAAATATAAGACATACATATTACGTAAATAAATGAAACATAAATGAAATATAGCCTCTGCGAAGGTTAGTGCTCAGCTGCAGGAGGGAGAGCACGGGAGCAGTGATGCATTCCTGGACGCAGGTGAGCGCAATGGGAGTAATCTGCTCCTCTCCTTATATTAGTAGGAGCCAGGACTAAGTTAGAGAGGAGAGTGAACAGAGGAGTGCATAGTGGCCAAGACGGACGGACAGTATATGAAAGGCCAGGCACAGTGCGCACATTATTGTGAAGAAAATTAAAGTTTGTTAACTGTAAATGTTTTTTAATCACGAAAATAATTTAAAAATACCGTGAAATATCGCGATTTAACAAAACTCAGATTGGAATAAAAGAAAAATCCATTTAGAAGTCATTCCAACTCAATTGTTACACTGAGCATGTGCAGAGTGCTGGTCAGACTGTACCGTTCCTGGTGGGATCAGAAATCTGCAGCAGATCCAGGAAGTGTGTTGCCAGGGCAATGTCTCCCATTTTGGCATCGTCAAGCACCTGGATCCTGATCCGTTGTGCGAGAGGAGGAAACTGTTCGATGAAGTTGATTTCCTCATTCCACACTGGACAGCTGGTAGCGCTGGCCACGGATGTTTCCCCCTAGAATGTTTTGTGGATATACAGACTAGATGTAAAATTGAATTCTCCAACTAAACAGAGTTTCTAATTTTCTTCACGTCTCCTCACTTGTTGTCCTGCAAAGGTCACTTTCACATAAGGGTCAATGAAGACAGTTCTGTCTGTAACCCTCGACATTTTAGCCATAAGACCCTCATCCATGGTGGGAAGGCCCTCAGCTCTGTATATACGGATGCGGAATCGAGCCCACGGACGCTCTGAGGGCATACCTCGAGGGAGCAGAAGGTTCCTGTGAAAATAGGAACATCAGAAGCCAGACCTGCTTACCTGCTTAAGGCAGTGTAGTGTCTTCTTACTGTAACTACTCCTCCATGTAGCTGAAAATGAAACTGACTGAATGACTGCATTACTACCTTTCGATGTCATCGCTGGCTCCAGATGAACATGACTGTGACTGCAGCAGACTGGACATGTCTACAGCATCTCCCTTCATCAACACACTCAGGGTGGCTTTAACGTAACCCCTAATCCCTGACCTGGTGTCTGCAGGGTCCGTGAGAGGGGCCCACTTCTGGTAAAAGCGATGGTCTGTAAATGCAGAGGGGTCAGAGGTCAGTGTCCGCAGCTGTGGTTGTAGTTGGAGCACATGTGACATTAGCTGTGCTCATCACCTGTTTGGTTGTAAATGGTGTTGATGTCAATTTTAAATGTTCCGATGTGGGTCATGAGGAAGGCCAGAATCCGTCTGTGGAACACCTGAGAGCAGGTGACACTGGCAGTGTTTTTGTTTGAAAATAAAAAAGGTCAAATTTGAAATTTGAAAAAGAGTGGAACTCACCTTTATCTCTATGACTTTATCAAAGAGAACCTGTGGAGCCTCCTGAAACTCAAACAGGAAGTTCTGACAGGAGAGAGGAGGTACATTTGAATACATTCATTATCTTACACAGACCCCTGTGTTTGAGTCTAAATTGTTGAACTTGTTGGGAGTTTTTTACCTCACTGTAATAAGGACAGTTTGTTGACTTTTGTGTCATTGTGTGTCTTTTCTGATCTCCCACCCTGATAAAAACTGCCGGGTTAATGTTCACACCAGCAAGCTTCTGCGCCTCCAGGATGTTTACGTTTATCTAAACACACACAAAAACACACACATATCAGGACTGAGTTGTTTATGGCAGAAAAAAAAATTAGAATGCTCCTTTTAAATACAAACACCCAGAAAATATACTTAATACCCAACAATAGGTTCAGTGTGTGTGTTTCAGTGCAGCAGCATCAAATGTAGTGTTTAACACAGAGTTAGTGCAATACTATAAAGTATTTCACTGTATTTATGATATAATTGATCATTTTCATGGAAAGATAATTACTAATTCTGGGAAATCTCTAATAATGTATGATGTCAGGTTTGTTTATTATGACCCAAGTCAGATCTATGGGACATGGCCAGTTCATCTCCTGTTGTGAGTATTAATTGAAAGGATGGATGAATGGATGGATGGATGGATAGATGGATGGATGGATGGATGGATGGATGGATGGGTGCTTAGATGGATGGATTAGAGTTTCTCACCTGAAAACTCTGAATCCTGGGTGTCTCTTCAGCAACCCGTCTGGACAGTGGTCTGCACCGGCTACAGAGACACAAGCACACATTGTTGATTTAACATAACTTGTTAGTAGTGTACAATAATTGGACACAACTTCAACACATTCAGGTGAACTGACCTCAACAGAGGAGTAAGGATGATGTTGGAAGTTTCCAGGTCGTCATCATAATCATCATTCATGTCATCCTCGTCTTCTTCTCCAGACAGGAGTAAACTTTGCCCAAGACGACGGACCTCTCTCTCCAGCTCATTTGGGCGAAAGATATTCTTCTGACTGAGAGAAGAAAAATGAAACTAAACTTTATTTCTTGTCCGGTTATGCGTGGCTCATTAAAAAAAAAAACAACTAATTATTTGTATTTATTAGAAAAACAATATACAAATATACTTTTCTCATATGACTCACAACTGAGATTTAACACTTAAAGAAACAAGAGGATGACTGAGACTAGAATATTAGTAGGTTTTGAGGGGACGATCTGAGGGAGTAACATTCATTCACCTTTCTGTGTCATCAAAAGCGTCATTTCGGATGACCACAGCAGATCTGAGGAAGAAAGGAGAAAGAGGAAGTTCAGTGAGATATCTGCTAAGCTCTGACATAAAGTCTCAATAATCTTAGTCTGTAGATTATCTAAATTATCCATAGCAGTGGAGGAACTTGAGTTACTTTGGAAATTTCTCACAGGCTGTACGAGGGACCATTCATGTGACCAAACTGGATTTATCTCCAGTTCTTAGTTTGAAAAGCAAATGTATTACCACTTCATGTCTTTTGTCTTTGCTAAAGCTAATGCTAATGTTTTCTGAGTCTGCATCTATTTGCACACAACTTCCAGAGAGTAATTTATTCTGTCCAAGAATATCCAGTTGACCAAGGAGATGGTCTCACTCGTCTTTGTCTTTCTCCTTGTCTTCAACCTTCAGGAAGTCCAGTTCCTCCCAGTTTCCCTCAACTGGATGATAGGTTATATCTAGTTCTACGTAGATCTACAGAAATAGAAGAACAAAAGTGACAACAACCATTTATTTAATGCTTACCAGCTATTATATCCAGCTAAACATAAAAAACAAAATAAAATTAATTTATAAATAAAGCATAAGCATTAGACAATATTAGTATCAGTATGTGTTGGTGTCATTACAGTAGTCAGGCAGTAGTTGGCATCGGTGAGTGGTTCCCGTAGCAACAGCCTCCCAGAGGTAACAACATGCTGTAGACTGACAACAAGTTTACCCAGCAGTCTGCAAAACACAAACACAAGCACACACGGTTATGGTTATCCAGACAACTGTGGTGAAAACAAAGATGTGTTTTTTTTTTTTACTGTTTTTAATTTTTATATTCAGCAGCCTCGTTAAGTATTTTTAAGTTATGTTCCATAATTACAACGTTACGTTTTTTCTGTTTCTTATCAGTTTACATTTTAGTTACCCTTTTGTCTCGGCCTGTTTCTCCCTGAGGTGCTCCACTCCCACCTGACCTGTCTCCTCTGTCTCCCTCCTCAGTGATTGGCCAACCCTCTCCACCTGTATCTTGTTATCTCCTCACCTGTCTTTCCTAATTACCTGTCTCTCTCCCCCCTTCCCTCTCTCAGTGCTGTGCAGAGACCAGCCTTTGTTTCTAGTTGTATTTCCATGTTTTTGATTCTGCCAGTTATCGCCACCTGCTGGCCCAACATCTGACTTTCTATCTCAGCCTGGTAGTAGCTCTGTATTTTTGCTTCAGTTATCGTTCAGACCTGTTTTAACATTTTCCAGGTGTTCCACATTGGAGTCCAAACAGTGGCTGTCGGTTTATTTGTTCACCTTTTTTATTTCCATCAATTTCTTATGTTTAAAATAACAATATATCTTACAATATAGTACAGATAGACCCCCACTCCTCCCATATGTTGAGGGACATCAAACAAGACAATTCTATATCTATGTGTTGGTGGGCTTGTGTTACCTGTTTGAGAAGACTCTACTGATGTTGTAGACACTGACAGTAAAAACCTCATCTTTGACCACTTTACCATAGTGAGGCCAACGGAAATACTGTACACACAGAGAGAGAGAGAGAGAGAAAGAGAGAAAGAAAGGGTGAGACAATGACAACAAAATCTTTTTTTTCTGTTGATATATAGGTGATTACATACAGATTATGAATTATTTACTATATTTACTTACTGCTGTAGTTATAAAGTGCAATTCATTCTCATATAAATTGATTTATAGTAATACTGGTAGAAAAGGTAGAAGAGGAATTTGAGTCAAATATCTAATTGTAATTATTGACATTACCAGACACATTCAAAGAGCAACACCAATGACCACAACAATGGGCAGGCTGTTTTTACACAATACTAACTTGAAATGACACAATAATAATATCATGTTATAATCACATTACTGATGAGGACTCGAACCTGAAGCCTTCTTAACTGGACATCTGTGTCTTACATTGGCACAGTTCCTAAGTGTGTTATCATTCCTGACACAACCCTCCCTGTTGGTCAGGGCAGAGGAATGATGGGTAACTTGCTCAGGAGCACAAAGACATGCAACTGGGTCAAACACAGACCTTGTGAGTAGAGGATGAATTCTGTAGCCTCAGAGCTGTTGTCACCTCCTCTGAGACCCAACTATATTCAACCATAATCATCCCATGGACACAACGTTAACCTCAACCACTATATTGGCATAACCACTAACTACTATATGTCTAATCCTAAACAATATATTCTTTAATAACTTTAATCTGGGTCTAGTTTTAATCCTAACTCCAAAATAAATATTGTGCTATAAAACACCCTTTCACTCTATGGGGACCTGCACAACGTACCAACAAGGACACAACGTCCTCAAAACAATGGTATTGTTCCATAACATTGTACCCTCAAGGTACAATATATAGCTATACCATCCTCTGTCTTACACACACACGCATATGCATACCTATTGAGTTTAGGGGGACCAGACTTTGGATTTTCTGTCTCCTGAAAGGTCAATGTTTGTGCCTGGAAAGGTCTTGAATCGATACCAAAACCCAAAGACACTCCTTAAAAACACACTTTTTTACTGCAAGGAAAAAATGTTGCTTCCTGATATAATGTTTACACAGGAGCTACCACTGAACAACACTTTCCTTGTGTAATATTCTAACTCACATACAATGGAGAAGAATAGAATAGTTGTCCATTTTTTACTCAAGGAATATTACGGCATTTTAATTTTTTCCAAGATCTGGAAACTAGACTCTTAGGTCCAGGATCCACTTCCGCTGATGATTCACATGTTGATCTGAACAAGTTGCAGCCTAGGCTTTGCACGAGTGTGAGGATTAAAAAATAAAATTTAAAGTATGCAAAATAAGACGGAGTTCATATTGGGACTAACGTAGAACTACTGTTCAGTCCAGAGGAAAGTAATCTAAACAGAATCTCCATGTGAAATAATTATAAAAGAGAGACAATGTGTGTTGGATGGAACTCCACCCATTTGATGACATCAGTAGCTGTTGTTGAAGAGAGATCAGATAAAGTCACTGCAGTATCTGAGCTATTCTGTGCAGCGACTGAGTCATGACGTGTTTGTTCTCCAGGTGTGACCTGAGCTGGTGCATGTCATGTTTCCCTGTCTGACTCCGCCGCATGGAGATAAATGAGACTGAAGAAGAAGTGTGTGTGTGTGTGTTTGCATATCCTTGTGTGGACATTTCTTGGTTTAATGCCTTATCGTGCGGGCTCTTTGTCCCAGTGGGGACATTTTTCAAGTCCCCACTACGAAAGAGAGTATTTTAAAGTTTAAGATTTAGTAAGGATTATGATTAGGTATCCACTTGTTATTGTTAAAGTTAGGGTGAGGAGTTAGGGAATGCATTACGTCTATGTAGAGTGCTCACATCTCATGAAAACCAGATTGTGTGTTTGTGTTTGCACTGTAGGAGCAGTAGTTCTTTATCAGTCTTGTTAAAATATTTTTACTCTGAGGAAGACCTACATTTCCCAGTCTCCCATTCATCTGTCTCTTGGTCCCTTCGTTTGTTACAAAAGGTTAACTACAATTAAGGTGATCTGAAATCTCAGCTGCTTCATACTCCCTCCAAAACCAATGGCCAACTTCTAACCAACAAATTGTATTTCTTAAAAAGTTGAATAGTTTTCTCAGGCTAACGGTTAACTTATAACAGGTTCAAATACTGAGCAATGATATAGTAGCCTTGTAATAATATCACGGGAAAAGAAATGGATTAAAGTGAGGAGACTCACTTTGACAAACCACTGGCCTGAGTAGAAAATCATCATGTAATGTACACGATGTACTTTGGTTGTGGTGAGGAAAAGTTCACTTAAAAATTTAAAATTACACAATTACAGTATTACAGATTTTCTGCAAATTCTCAATGAACAATGCAAAATCTATTTTATTTCTTGTTTTTTGTTAACTTTTGGATGTGTTTTGTTTTTTGGGACGATGACAGCAGTGTTCTGACTCACCTCGTTGAAGATGGCCAAATTTTCACACTGAAGGACTCTGGTTTTATAGACAAAACCTGGAGAGAAGAGAAAAACAGGTGATACAGTGTGACAGAGGCGTCAAGTTAACAAAAGTTTAAAAAAAAAAGTAAAGTGGTTCAAAACAGTCAATATTAATTAAAGTTAAAGTTATTATGAATGATATTTCAAATGTTTATCCTGTACATAAACTGTAGCAGTCACAACAATGATTAATACTTCATAAATTGCATCTTTAGAGAATGGTTGCAAAATGTGGAAAAAATATTTGACATCCTGGTTAGGGGAAAATTTAAAATGAATTAAAAACCTAATTTTGCTCATGAACAGTTTTAATTGATTTTCTTGTACATTTTTTAGCATTTATATACACACAAACAAAATGATTGTTTCACTGACCTCTAAAATTGAGTTCCACTTTTCTGTCTGACCGCCCAGGTAGGTTGAAGATCCTGCGTAAATTCACGCTAATGGACATGATGATGATGACAATGATGATGATGATGATGGTGGTTACGATGCTCCTTCACCTTCAGCTCTGCGGTCAGCTGTTGTCCCACATTCTCTCCAACTTGAAGTGGCTCGTCTCCTGTCGTCTGCCTTCTCTCTTCAACAGTTGGAGATTAACTGCTGTGTTTTCTGTTCAACAGACTGATGTGAGGTGTGTGTGCGTGCGCATGTGTCTGTTTGGGCAGGTCTTTCCAATGTTTGAGAAGGCAAATGTTGAGTCGCTCAACTAGTTTCTTTTAGTCCTCGTATTTACTTCAAAAGAAAAACTGTACTAATAAACCTAGGTTGAACACTGGAAACAGAAAACCAAAGTCACTTCGAGCTTCATAAGGTCTGGTTATTGTGTTATAGAAAATGTACTGGAGTAAAGAAATATTTACATTTCATGGTAAAATACAAAATAACATTACTCAGAACAAATTATTTCCTCATTATTTTAAATGTATTTATATTGTTATTACCTTTGTCATATTTGTCTTAAGGGGCTCTTTAAGAAGAACAATATTTGAAGTAGAATGACCTCAGGGCTAACAGTTCCCCTGGTGAGAAGCACTTAAGTGGCACACAGATGCAAAACAATGCAAGCATTTTATTTAGGGTACAACAACAACTACTTCATTGGATTGGTAATGTCAGGATATCCAAGAAAGGCATTTCATTTTTGGGGGAGCA